TTTCATCAGGCTTGATTGATAAATATAGTTGAGTATCATCCGCATAACAATGAAAGTTTACAGAATGATTCCTTATAATATTGCCTAACGGAAGCATATATAATGTGAACAAAATAGGTCCAAGCACTGAGCCCACCTGTGTCTTGTTACCCTGTGTTTAAATTCCCCTGTCTCCCAGTGTTCAGTGTCAGTTCGTATTGTCTCTTGCTATGGTCAGGTCTATGCTCCTTGTACTTTTGAAAAGTTTGATTCCTCACTGCGTGAGCGCTTTCATTTTTTGTTCTCTATTTTTGTCATCTCGGCTTGAGATTTGATAGTTACCTTTTTTTTGTTATTCAATGCTGTTTTGGAAAATAAAGTATCCAACAAATACTTGACCTCTGTCTCCCGGGTCTTGCAATTGGGTCCTACATCCTAAGTGTCTGAGATCTTAACAGAACGAACTGACCATTATGGACCCAGCAGACCTTTTGATGCTACAGGCGGAACGTCTTGAGTACTCCCTGGAGTCCCTTTTTTTTATACGTGGAATGACGCCTCATCTAGGCGGGGTAGAGAGGCTGCGTTGAAGAAGGCACATCAGGAGATTGCTCGCAAGCCCTGGCTCTGGAGCTTGTTGCCTGAGAGGCTCAAGGATTTTACAAGTAGCCCAGAGGCCAGCCTCAAGCCTCAAACCCCTTCTTGGGATCCCGCCTTGCCTTAGGAGGTCCACGGAGCCTCCAAAAGGTCTCTAGGGGACGCAAACGCCAGGATTCCAGCCGTGGCCCCAGCAGCCATGGTTCCGGCTCCAGAACCGGCCCACAAGGCCATGGATCCGTGCACCAGTACCGGGCCACGCAGCTTTGCTTCCTTGCTCCATTACCTGGCTTACACAGCCAGGGTCCAGGCTTCTGCTCCGCGCCCAACAGCCATAACAGTCCGCCTCTTACACACAAAAGCGCCACAACTTAGTCGACCTACCCCCGCTTCGACTACCGACGACGGACGGGCCGGAGGTCGCCTCGATGCAACTAACCGCCACCACACTCTTTCGTTCCTCGGCCCCCTTGCCTTTTTCCCCTTTTGATGCTCCGCTTCTCCCTTTGCCCTTCGTGTTTCCGCGCGCCCTGGCCGCGCCTTCTCCTGGCTGCGCCTTCAGGGACACCCGGCTTTCAAGACGATGCGACGCCTGCACCGACGTGCCCCAACGACCGACGACACAGCTGCCCAGCAACTGTCGTTCCGCTCTTACCCGCGGCGCACGCTAGTTCAGAGCGGGACAAATAACGCGTTGCGTGAGTTCAAGGACAATAACGTTGCGTGAGTTCAAGGACAAATAACGTGCGCGCAAGGAGAGTTCAGGACACACACTAACGGCGTGCGTTTGAATTAAGGGCACCAGACAGCGTTCGGCGCGCCGACCAAGGATAGTCCCGTCACGCAAATAATGAAAATTGAGGAGAGCCAGAACTCAAAGGCACTGGGCTCTTCCTCGCCTGGTATTTGATAAAATTTGAGCCCGGTACACAGAACCGCCCGACAGTGACAAATTTTTTCGTGTCCCCTTTCATACCTTCACGGTTATCACGGTGAGTAAACAGTAAACGGGTGGGTCACCGGTCACTGACAAGGGTAAAAATGAAGGAACTCGTTACGGTCAACTCACCTCCGTACAAGTAACCACACTAAACACACAATCACAAAAAGAAAATTTATCTACACAGGTACACACTACACTAAAGGTATTTTATCTTCACGGGACACAAGCGCAACAAACGTACGAAACCTATAAAATGACAATTAAAGCATGGGTAACTATCCAGGGAGGCAACGGTCGGTCCCCCACCCCATCTTCGTCATTGTCGGAACTTACTGCCCAACCAGCTATCCGTGCCGTAATTTGGAACCGGGAACAACAATTGCAAAGGTACACCCTCTTTCGGAAAACTGGTCTATACCAGGCTGATAATTGAAATTAAATATTATTTCTAGTAAAACAATGGAACTATAGACGGACGAGGGCACACACACTCAAGTCAACCCCCTAATTTCTTGACCCACGGTCCGTTTTCAGCCCGGTTAATGTAATCTCCCGGAGTGAGCGCTGTAGTACCCGAAACCTTTCACCTCGGCCTTGTGCCGACATACCCGGGCAACAAGCGACCTCGTCCCTGGTACCGAACGTACCCGGCCAAGACCTCGGTTTGGTAGCCGACACCCCCTTTTGGCCTTGACTTCGGCCAGTACCGGCACACACCGGCCAAACCACCGTCCTTTGTACCGCATTCCAAGGCCAAGACCTCGTCGCCTGGCTACCGACGACGCCCCGGCCGTGAACCTCGCATTGGTACCGACGGACCGTTCCTTTGGCCTTCATACCTTGGTACCGACACAACCCTACGCGATGACCTCGTGCCACATGGTCCGACACCACCGGCGTGTGACCTCGTGTCTTGGTACCGACGACCCCGGCCGTGACACTNTGTTTTGCTTTTCTCCTTGTCAAGTTTGTCATGTTTTTTCTTGTCTGTGTAGGGAAACTAACGACAGACAGGAAAACACAGGGAAAAAAGACCAGACAATACACAGACAAGAAAAAACATGACAAACTTGACAAGGAGAAAAGCAAAACACCCACTACCAGACACACAAAACAAAAAACGTGACACAACACAAGAATCATGACAGAACCCCACCCTCAAGGGACGGATTCCAGACGTACAAAAAAAATCCAAAAAGGGTGGGTGGAGGGGGTCCGGGACGACAACCCAGAGGCAAAGCACAGTCCATGATGGGTGTCTCGGGCGGACGACCCAGGGGCAAGGCAGAGTCCATGATGGGTGTCTCGGGCGGACGACCCAGGGGCAAGGCAGAGTCCATGATGGTTGTCTCGGGCGGACGACCCAGGGGCGGAATCTCCGGCGGATCAGGCGCAGACGAGACCCTGGACAGAACCTGGGCTGGTGTCAGTGGGACCCACGACGGAGCAAGGGCTGGTGTCGATGGGACCCGAAACAGGACAGGACACGGTGTTGGCAGGAAACTCGGCGGAGCAAGTCTCGGCGGGACCCCCAACGGAACAGGACATGGAGCTGGCAAGACCCCCGATGAAACAGGTGTCGGCTGGACCTCCAACGGCACAGAACATAGGACCGGCAGGATCCCCGGCAGAAGAGCAGTCGTCGGGGCCTCCAATGGCACAGGACACAGGGCCGGCAGGACCCACGGCAGAAGAGCAGCCGGCGGGGTCCCCAACGGCACAGAACATAGGACCGGCAGGACCCCCGGCAGAAAAGCAGTCGGTGGGGCCCCCAACGGCACAGGGCACAGGGCCGGCAGGATCCCAGACAGAAGAGCGGTTGGCGGGGTCCCCAACGGCACAGAACATAGGACTGGCAGGACCCCCGGCAGAAGAGCGGTCGACGGGGCCCCCAACGGCACAGGACATGGAGCCGGCAGGACCCCCAGCGGAACTTCCAAGGACATTGGGTAGGGACTTGAGAGGGAACTTGAGAGGAGACTCGAGAGGGAACTCGAGAGGAGACTCGAGAGGGAACTCGAGAGGAGACTTGAGAGGTGCCTTGAGAGGGAACTCGAGAGGAGACTCGAGAGGTGACTTGAGAGGGGACTCTAGAGGGAACTTGTGCGGGGACTCGAGGGGGAAACTGAGAGGTGGCTTGAGAGGGAACTCGAGAGGGAACTTGAGCGGGGACTCGAGGGGGAAACTGAGAGGTGGCTTGAGGGGGAAACTGAGAGGTGGCTTGAGAGGGAACTCGAGAGGAGACTCGAGAGGGGACCTGAGAAGGAACTTGACAGGGGACTTGAGAGGGAACTTGAGTGGGAACTTAAGAGGTAACTTGAGAGGAGACTTGAGAGGAGACTTGAAAGGGAACTTGATAGGGGACTGGAGAGGGAATTTGAAAAGGACCTTGACAGGGGACTCGAGAGGGGACTTGAGAAGGAACCTGACAGGGGACTTGAGAAGGAACTTGACAGGGGACTCGAGAGGAGACTCGAGAGGGGACTCGAGAGGGAACTTGACAGGGGACTCGAGAGGGAACTTGAGAGGGAAATGGAGAGGTGACTTGAGAGGGAACTCGAGAGATGACTGGAGAAGGAATTTGAAAAAGACCTTGACAGGCGACTCGAGAGGGGACTTGAGAAGGAACTTGACAGGGGACTCGAGAGGGGACTCGAGAGGTGACTTGAGAGGAGACTTGAGAGGGCTCTCGAGATATTGCTTGAAAGGGAACTGGAGAGGGGACTGGAGAGGTAACTTGACAGGGGACTCGAGAGGAGACTCGAGAGGGGACTTGACAGGGGACTCGAGAGGAGACTCGAGAGGGGACTTGAGAAGGAACTTGAGAGGTGACTTGAGAGGGAACTCGAGAGGAGACTTGAAAGGTGCCTTGAGAGAAAACTCGAGAGGAGACTTGAGAGGTGACTTGATAGGGCACTCGAGAGGTGACTTGAAAGGGAACTCAAGAGGGGACTCGAGAGGGAACTTGAGCGGGGACTCGAGGGGGAAACTGAGAGGTGGTTTGAGAGGGAACTCGAGAGGAGACTCGAGAGGAGACTCGAGAGGGGACCTGAGAAGGAACTTGACAGGGGACTCGAGAGGTGACTTGAGAGGAGACTTGATAGGGAACTCGATAGGGGACTGGAAAGGGAATTTGAAAAGGACCTTGACATGGGACTCGAGAAGGAACCTGACAGGGGACTCGAGAGGGGACTCGAGAGGGGACTTGAGAGGAGACTCGAGGGGAGACTTGAAAGGGAACTCGAGAGATGACTGGAGAAGGAATTTGAAAAAGACCTTGACAGGGGACTCGAGAGGGGACTTGAGAAGGAACTTGACAGGGGACTCGAGGGGAGACTCAAGAGGGGACTTGACAGGGGACTCGAGGGGAGACTCGAGAGAGAACTTGAGAAGGACCTTGACAGGGGACTTGAGAGGGAACTTGACAGGGGACTCGAGAGGGAACTTGAAAAGGAACTTGACAGGGGACTCGAGAGGAGACTTGAGACGGTCGGTAAGCCGACAGGGCACAGGAAGCTGGCATCGGCTGAAGAGCCAGTACTGGAGCCGAAACTGGAGTCGGGACCATGGCTACTGGGGCCGGAAGTGAAACCGGAACCATGGCTGCTGGGGCCGGCACTGGAGCAGTCCGCAGGTGAGGGATCAAACGATTCATCTTTTCAGCCAGCTGTTGCAGCTGTGTAGAGATGTCTTCCTGAATCTCTGCCTGGCGTTCTCTCAGCTCTTGTATTCTCTGGGTGGCCATACCCAGCTGTTCCTCGTGGTGAAACACTTTCACGTCGTGTGCTGACAGAGCGGCGTGAAGTGTTCTTGGGTCGGCTGGGTCCATAATGGTCAGTTAGTTCTGTTATGACTCAGGCACTTAGGAGGTAGGACCCAATTGCACAACCCGGGAGACAGAGGTAAAGTATTTGTAAGATACTTTATTTTTTCATGAACAGCGAAAATGAACAACAAAAAACGGTCTCTATCACTCTCTAGCTGAGATGACAAAAAATGGAGAACAAAAATGAAAACGCTCACGTAGTGAGGATCAAACTTATCAAGAACTCAAAAGAACATAGACCTGACTGTGGCAAGAGACAAGAGCAAAGCACTGACCATGGCAAAAGA